TTTATCCTCTTGTGAAGATTAACAACAAAAAAATGAAAACATTGGTAAATGTAAACGATCAGCTTTTTTATTTTACCCTCTATTACTGAATAATTATATCTCCAGTACTATACCAGCCACAGTGGGTATTTCAGAATTGGTATTATCATATCTGGTGGAAGAAAATCATTCACAACTCAAACAGGATATCCAATTAAAATTAGAAATCTTTCAAGTGATTTTAGGATTGATTTACCATATCCCAGGGGAATAAGCACTTATTTTCAACATTTAATCAATGTGTTGGTCCCCGAGTCCTGGGAGGTCCTTCCCGGTTTATTTTTTAATGCACATCTTTTCGAGGAAGCCTGCGTGACAGTGAATGACACCCTTTTTTGGTTCCCTCTGTGATGTTTGGATAGTTGCCCTTTTGAACCGAAATATTTACTTGTTATATGCCTTGTTACACTGTGATATCTCTGAGCGCAGGGATAAGATCTAATTCAATCTTTTTAGTGCTCCTAGCTCTTAGCCAAGTGCCTGGCATGGTGCCTATGGTGTACTAACAACATGGTTGTGCAGTAATGTTGTTTTGAAGTTTATTTTAAACTCCTCCGTTTAGCCCAGTGGTTAAGAGCACGGGCTCTGGCACCAGGAATCCTGAGTTTAAATTCTGTCCCGAAAACTTGCAATGGGACCTTGGTAAAGTTACCTAATCCCTCTAGGCCTCAATTTCTTCAACTTCAAAATGGGAATAATAATGATGGTACTTAATACACTTGTTGTGACTAATAACAGAATGAAATTATAAGTACACACACATGCATATATGTAATTTAATAGTGCATGGTGAAAGCTCTTGAAATGTAAGCCTATTATTAGTTTTATTCAGTTAAGATTCAGTTTATTCATGTATACTTATCATTCTAAGATACTTATCATAATCGCCTTACACTTGTAGGTAATTACAAGGGTGTATTTAGGGATGACTCATCACAGATTTGTATACCCTTCTCAATAATGCCCACATTTACAAGTGAGGAGGAGATTACCACTGCAGGAATATTATAGGAATATTATATAGTTAGTGTGTGAGTGAGGGACTAAATCCACACAGTACATCAGGGTGGCCTTTATTAAACCTACGTAAGGTACAATCTCCTTCCCATTCTAAAGCATAGCCCTAAATTTACCCAGACCTTCATCAATTACAATATATTCCTGGATCAGGAGCTCTTTCTTCACTTCTCCTTTCCTTAACTACTTCGCTTTTCAATCTAATTCAGCTACTGTTTACTTAACAGGTGTTTAGTCATGTGCTTGATTGCTTGAAGGCATTTAACCAGTAGTAGCAGGAGAGTCATTGTTTGGAAACTTGTCTGTTTATGTCATTCTCCTAGTTAAAATTAAAAAAACATGTATTCCTACTTTCATTATGAGTAAAAAGTGTGATAAAGGTGATTTTAAAATATTCATATTTATACTTGAAATATTCTAGAATACACACACCCACACATTAAAGAGCCTACTAAATTGTGTATGTGTGTGTGTGTGTTTATGTGTACTATGCTCTTCAATTTTTAAATTATACTTTAGTTGATTTTGAACAGTCTCAAATATATACCTTCAAGCAATCCTGTGGCTATAAAACAAAAAAAAAGAACAATTGTGTCTTAAAAATCTCTTATTCTAAAAAGAGCTGGTTAAACTTCATTTCCAACGGCTTCACCATTTCCTGATTATCTGTCATCTGTATGGTAGAGGAGAGAGAATCTGTAACCCAGCGTGACAAGGTGGATCCCAAAGAGGCTCACTATACTAGAAGCCCTTAAGCGAAGTTGTTCTTTTATATTAAACATAATTAAACATTTAAAATAAACATGATATATACATTCTATTCCATAGAATACATACCTTGTATTAATGTAGAGGGTATGGCAAAAGTAGGCTTTTAGTTGTGAGTACATGAAATGCAGTTTATCTTTGTATTATTATTTATTAATTATTGTATTATGATCCATCAGAACAACTACAAACCTATTTTTGCCCCACCTTCTATGTATTTTCCTCCTCCAAATCTCTGATCAGTGGACACTATTAGAAAACTCGTCTCATCTGTGCTCTTGGAGGGCTTCCTGTAAAGCCTCACCAGTTTGGAATTAATAGTTTTATTTCACAACTAGGGCATTTAAATCAACTTGCCTAATGCTTCTTAACATTGAATAAAAAATAGTTTGTTTTTCTGGGATGATGGGCCTGGGGAAGACAGAGTTTAGGAAACAAAGTTTTAAAAAAAGGTTCTAAGGGTTTGTAGCCATTAAAACGGTGGTGTTGAAAGGAAGAGCTGAGTGTTCAGATGTGTGGAAATGCTGAGCATATTTACAGTGGGGCATCTGAGAGGAGCTTTCCTATAGGACATTTCAATGAGGGGATATTTCTTTGGTGAGGAGGAATCTGAAAGTACAGATCTGATGGTCATTTGTAGAAGCTGAAGCAATAGAAAATAAGATTTCTTAGAATGAGAAATTCTGAATGTCACTGAATCTTCAGTGGACAGAGGAAATAGAATCATTGACAGAGGAAAAAAATCACTTGTAGAAGACAGAAGAGGGGAAAAACCAGCTCACTCACTGAAACAAAGAACAACGATAACTGAGTTTTGCCAACACTTGTCATTTACTTCAGAGGCATCAAGAATGAGAACAGGTTATCAAATAAAAGGGAACATTACGATGTAGGAAGAGAAACATAAAATTTTATTATGTGGAGAGTTCACAGGAGGACATGAATACAACCCGCCCATTATATTAGCAAACTTATCTATACTAATAAAAGCCTATGTGGTTGATGCCCTCACACTTTCATGTCATGATGCCCTCAAGCCATAACAACCCACCACCACGGGTAGGTCCCGGCAGCTCTGGCTCTGCTGGGCAAGGCCGGGGGTCCCCTGGTGTGGGGTCCCCCAGCTCTGGCCTACCTTTTGGGGGCAATCCATTGAGGAGTCCCAGATGGGTAGGCAGGGTCTACCACTTTGGGGAGATCAATTGCGGGGCTCCCGTACTGTGAGAGGGCACAGGCCAGGCTGGGGAACCCTCCTCCCGAGTGCACAATGTTATGCACTGGGTCTCTCATATAATAATAAAAAGGAAAAGAGTCCTAGAAAGATAAAGTCAAAAGTCAATGACTGAGTCACTTTGGAACAGAACTGCTTTGTTATCTTGGCTTTGTAATCTAATGTCCTTGGTGCTCCCATATATTGCAACCCAGTCTTCTATGGCAGCGGCAGGCAGCGTATTCCAGGCAAATTCCTAACAATACAACTTTTGGGAAGGTAGATATTTGCCATTCAACAATGAATGTAGCTGGAGTAAAATTTAAATTCATAAAGCAAAAGGGCCATTTCTATGGTGATCCTTTGAACTTGTTACTTAAAAGCTGTGTCACAGGTATGGTTCCTATCTAAACTTACTGCTGTGTTTTATTCTAAGGAAATATAATGATACTCAACTATTAATGGATAGAGGGGGAACTAACTACAGTAGAAGAAGAAAAAGAGAAAGACTGTGGAAAGTTGGAGGGAGAAGAAAAGCCATCTCCTAAACCTGCAGCTTCTCACACAGGAAACACGGTTTCCTAAAATGACCACAGAACATTTCCATTCATATATGTGATGGAGGATTTGAAAATCTGGTGGTAAAAGGCTCATTCACAGTCCACACTGTAAAGCATCATCGCATCAACACCATCAACCAAGAAGCATCACTATAAAATTAGAAAGCAAAGAAAGCAAAACAAGGAAGAATGCCTCCTCCTCCTAAGGAAGAAACCTGGCTTTGAAGAAGATAAATAATTCTCCTTCAAGATAAATAGTTAGCTCATCTTAGTGGGCTGACACAGAGGCAGGTCTATCACAGAGATGCTAGCTAATCTAGCTTTGTCTAAACCTATGGTTTTCAGAAAGACAAACCTCTGTTTAGCTAAGTGGATGTATTATTAGTTCAATTTTTGAATGGTTCAAACTTTCCTATCTCTAATGTATGTGTGAATCTGTCCAGTAGAATGCATAATTTTTTAAACAGGTACTTTCCAGGATGCCAAGTCAACCACAAAAAGGATTTCATGAAAGTTTTTTGTATAAGTAAACTTTGAAGACAACACATTTGCTGTTAAGGAATAAAAAATGGTATCAATGTTTATACCAGGAGAGACAGGTGCTGACAATTGAAATCAGTTCAATCTTTCTCTTACCTTTTGTTTTCCATAGTACTGAGCATAGTAATGGATTGTTAGAATGTCTAACTGAAAGTTATATAATCTTAGGCAGTTTTTTTCTATTTCATAATACAGAAATAACCATCTTCCTGTTTGCTTTTTTCCTAAATACCTTGAGGACATAAAACTTTTAAAACTTATAAGCAGTAGAAAAATATTGGAAACTCAATTTGTATTAAAACATTATTCTTTGCACAAATCCACTGACCCATTTTTCTAAAGTAAAGATAACTGCAGGGTTTTTACTTGCATTGAAAATTTAACAATTACAGTTCAATTTTTATGTTCATATAGTGCCATAAAAAAACTATATTTCAAGTTGCACAACTGACCTTCTTTTCTATAAAAATATAGATAGGGCCTAAATTATACGTGATTGTATTGTGGAACATTTTGAAAAGGAAAATCCTGTTGCTTTTCTTGCATATAAATCAATTTGGATCTTAAACACTTCTTTGCATTTCCTTGCATAGTTAGAAACATGACTTTAATTTTTTATTAATTTAAAGAAACATAACTGACCACATGACAGGTTGACAATTATACTTGGTTAGACAACTGTATAGAAAAAAAAAACAAAAACAAAACCCATACACGTAACAGATTTCCAGAGACAGAAAAAGAAACCGCCTTTGCAAAGAAGAATCACTACAGTCTATGATCCCATCACAATCCACAGCGCGAAGATGCACTCTGGTCTCTCCGGCAAGACCTTGAGATGTTTACTCTGCATTCGCTTCACTCACCTGTTTGGCTTAGTTGGGATGTGCTTCTACTCCGTCGGGACACTATGGCGACCACCTTGGCGCTCAGGCTGGACCTCCGTTTCTTCCCACCTGCTCCCACGGTCCCCACGGCCGTGTCCGACTGGCTGCCATCATTATGCTCCAGTGTGTACATCTCTCCACTCACACTGGTGCTCTTCGTGATGGCTCTTCCTGAAGTCCCCATCCGTCTGCCTTGCATTTTAGGGGTAAATGAACTATATTTACAAAGTAAAAACATATATGCATCCATAAATTACAGGTCAGCATAATCGAAACTCTACATCTAATTTATTTTGAAATAATCCAGGCACATTTTTAGGGGCCAAGCTAGTTGAGCCGTAGTCCTTCAGCTAGGCATCTTTTAAGATCACATCACTGTCCCCAAACATTTACTAAATTTAGCTTAAAACAGTACAGCAGAAGAAGCTATAAACTTTTCAAAAGAGAGTACAAAGAAATGCAACCATACTATCTATGGTAGGTAAATGTTACTGGCCAATTTTGTAAATAGTTACTATTTATCTTCAGTTAATACTATTTACTATTAGCTATTTAAATCAACTCAGCATGCTTTTATGTATTGCTGAGGAAAAAGTTTTGTTAAAGATGGACACTGAATGTGCCACATGACATGGTTTAAAAAATTAAAACAATATCTGTTCTAGTTTTCCTTTGGGATTCCAATGAGCAGACATTATCTTTGCTAACTGAGGCTTAAGGAGTCCAGGAAAGACTGCTAACGAGTCAAAAAACTGCATTTCCCTTTTCTATCGTTGTCCCCTGATGCTCCATCTCCTCCACCAAACGTTATCTCATTTTTCGATTTTCGCCCCTCAAATCCACATGCTCCAGGCTGAGACTTTCCTTTTTGTTGTTCTTTTCTATAAAAAATTTAATTGTCTATGTTCCCAGTCTGTACTAGTTTATTTGAATTATATTACTATACTTTTCTCCCAAATGAATAAATTATAGTTGAGAATTTCAGGAACCATGAAAGGTTCCTGCCAAAGTTAATGTATGCTTCTGAGTTAGAGAGAGGTAGGCAGGGAAGGGGGAGACAAGGATGTTAGGATACTTTGAACCTTTCAGATTAATGTTGCATCTGCAGCAATTATTGATATATCTGAAATGACCCTCTTAATTTTATGCTGTCTCAAAATACTTTCAAACATTGGCTTACACAACCCTTGCCACCATATAAATTTTTTATTTCTTGACTTGATCTACAAAACACATCATGATGTAATGTAACATATTTTCACAGCAATACCACTTAATAGGTTGAAATAAATACTAATATGATTAGAAATGATAAAACAAAGTTTTATCTTGGGATCATATAGCATATTTGTGATCACATATATAATGAATATTTAAGTAGAAAGAGAAATTGGTGTGGGCTAAGTTCAGAAAGGTGGGAAAGCAATACTACCACGAAATGTTGTACAATGTTCTTTAGGTTATATAGAAGCTTAAAAGTATAGAAAAATGTCTCCTATAATATTTATATCATGAACATTTATTCAAAATGAAGTAGGAAGATTAAAAATGTTATATGGATATTTAATCACAGCAGTGAAATGTTCTGCAATGTTGACAAATAAAAGTCCTGAACAACAACAAAAAGAAATCTCTGTATAATAAGAGATGACTATTCTTGGTGGGGGGGTGGAAGATTTGAATTAAGAAATTATTATATTAAAATAATTTTATGAATAAACAAGATACATTTTTTCCTAAAAATTTTTTTGTTTGTTTAAAAGAATTTTTATATGATCCAAGGCCAGTACAGATGCAATGAAATAATTTGTACACAGAAACATAAAAATATTTTGGGCATAAAAATAAAACATGAAAACATTTAAAATAAAATATTTAGTTAAAAAATTTTAAAAGGAAATATTGTTTGACAGTGTTTTAAAAATGAGGGTAAAACTCTTTGCAGTGATTTGATCAATGATTATAGTTTCATATAATTACACTAGAGACCCGGTGCATGGACTCGTGCACCGGTGGGGTCCCCTGGCCTGGCCTATGGCCCCCCATAATCCAGAACCCCTCAGGGGATGTCAGACTGCCGGCTTCCGCCTAATCCCCACAGGCCAGGCCAAGGGACCCCACTGTATATAAGACCTTTAGTTAATCTCTTCCCTTCCTCCCTCCTCCTTTCCCTCTGAGATTCATTAGTCTGTTCCATGTTTCCATGCCTGTGCATTGAGTGAGTGTCTGCCCCCTGGTGTGGTCAGTGTATATCATAGCTAGCAGTGGAATGGTTGCTTAGGCTTTTATATATATAGATGGGAGGTTCCAAAAAGTACATTTCCATTAACTCGGACTAGTGCCAGCTACCAGAATGTCAGTCAACTGCATACCCCGCTAAAGGAGGCCAAGAAGAAGATGAAGAATTCAAGAAGTAACCAAATACTATGGAGAACTTTGCCCATAAGAATGATCTTTCCTAAGGCACTTTAATTATACCTCTTCAGAGAATTATTGAGTCTGGATACTGTCACTTCCTCACTATCATCTTCAGTTGTAATACAACACCTCTTTATATGTGCCTATTCCAGTCATAAATTTATAGATCTATTTTGACCTGCCACTCCCATCAGCTTCAAGTCTCCCTTTCCAAGTTTCTCTCCACACCGTTAGGTCCCACCTAGAATTGAGTATCAGTCGCTGCTGTTTTTACTACTGTGCTATTCTGGACACATCTGATGAATGGCTCTGGGCAGCTAGACTAAGCTCGGCTTTGGTTCCAATGAAGGCTGTGTGCTCTCTCACACTAGTAAGAAATTTTGAGGGAGAGGCTTTCTTGGGTGAACATATGAAAAACAACTGGGTACAAAAAAACTAATTTACATTCACAAATTTCTCTGCACTACTCATTGCAGAGTTAGGGCTTCAAAGAAATCGGTACTATTTCCTACAGGAATATCTCAGAGAGGTGCAGGACTCAGTATTAGTGTTTGAATTTATTCTTCTTTCCAAGGTGGTTGACCAAGCATCAGAGAGGAAGTACAGAACATTACTCCTTGGAAAAAGAACAGCTTGGGACATAACCCATTTTCTTTCACTTGTTAGACTGAATTGAAAAATAGATAGAATTTATGTGCTTCAAGTTAATGGTATAAGTATAATTAGTTGCAAAAGTAAATTTTGTTGACATAAAACTAATTAATTTAATCATTATAATCATTACTTACATTATAATGCTTATGGAACACTAGCTGTGTGTCTAGCAATGTGCCAATTTTTGTAGGAAGTATACTTTAAACATGTAAACAAGAAAATATAGCATGGAATTATAAAATATAAGCCAAAAAATAATTATTCTACACATAATAAGAGAGATTTTTTAAAATCTGAAAAATGATCTCAGAGCATGTTCACTCAGGAAGGCAAGAGTTTTATGATAACAATTGATGCCAAATCGGTCAGACTTCACAGAGAAAGACATGATTCCACCTGAAGGCCAGTGGGACTATTTCACAAATTCTCCCTGGAGCCAGCTTGTAGTATCTAACAGTTTGTCTTATTTATTTCTTATCTATTTGGCTGATGGGCAGCACAGGAAAACTATGCCTACCGGTTCCTTTCTGTACTCACCACGTTTCAGATGGGGAAAGATTACTGAAGAATCCTTAGGAAACTGGGCTTCACAGATTTTAACATTTAAACTATTTCTAATGTCAAAATTTCCTTTTCTATTTTGTTTTTTAACTATATTCCTAGTTTTTAAAATAGGCAGATTTGCAGAGTCAAAAACAAAATTAATGACAAAAGCCTATGAGCTTTAGGCGAAGACAGACCTAGATTTAAGTAACAGCAGCATTCTGTGCTATTTGTGGCTCCAGATGTTTGTAAAATCTCAGATATCTCATCTGTATAATAAACAGAAACTCCTACTTGAATTGAAAATCATATTTGTAAAATATATTCAATTATAAAATAAATAGTAACTGTTAGCATTAGTATAATAGCCCCAATACCATACTGTCCATAAAATTTTAATTACTTGTGGTGTAGTGATAATTCTTCTAGGGTGTCGAAATCATTTTCTATCAATCATGGGATTTGAAGGTCTTATCTTAAAGGTTTATTTTGTTTTGTTTGGTTTTTGTGCTTGTCAGCAACCTGTATTGGACATGCCTCCCAGTTACACTGCTCCCATTTGAATAAAAAGGGCCACAGGCATTTGCTCCTGTTCAGCTTGATGCAGCGGTACCCTGTGGCCTTAGCCATAGCTGACTGGACCAAGGACTGGTATCTGAGTGGAAAGCAACCTACACACTGTCCTGGCATGGGCACTCCGATAACAGGATGATCTTTATGATCACTAACTACTCCCTTAACAGTAGGCTCATCCATTCTTCCTCCTTACATTCCAACATCCTGAGATCCCAGAATATCTTTGTCTGTCTTGGAAGGAATCTGTCTTTACCCATCACATTGTTTTTCCTTTCTCTAGCTTCCATTCCTCATCCCAAGAATGGCCCTTTCTCTGCTATAGCACCTTTCTTCCCAATTTTATGGTCCTGAGCTCCCTTCATCTTCTCCATCACTGCCCCTGATTGCTTTTTTCTCACGTATCTGACATTTTACTGCCAGTTCAAGATCCAATTCTCTTTGCCCTGTCCTGGCATTTTCCCTCTAACTTGGGAGAAATTCTCCAGGGACACATTTGCTTTTTATATCTACGATATGTTCTTAAGTATTATTTTCATTGTAAACATTACTCTTTAAGTGAGGAAATTTTAAGATGCCAAGAAAATAGTAACACATTATGAACTATTTCCAGCAGTGTGGTAGATGATGTTTCTGAAAATCCTTTCACTCTCAAATGCCTAGAAAGGATGGGAAAATTACAAGAAATACACATTGAAATACAAACCTAAGTTCATGAGAAAGGCGAAGGAATAGAAAACAGATTGCTAAGTGGGTGATGAATGTCTTGGGAGGTTTTGCAGATGAGAACTTTAGAGCAGGCCCAATGCGGAGTTAGAATTGAAACCCCTATGTGAGCTGAGACTCTTAAGAACAAAGAAAAATGGGGGCCTCAGCCTAATCCCCAATGGACCCTCACCAGTGGCATTTCTAATTCAAATATTTCAGGAAAACAGAGAATGCTTACAAAATGAATTTCTAAGACATACAAAGAAACTAGAGAATATATGAATCAATCTAAGTTATTAAAATATAACATCAAATAATG